CAAATCCCCTTAATAAAAGCATTTGTTCTGTAAAACTTGGACTCAGTCAAAGGGTCACACCTGAGGACCCAGAGGGCCACACATGGCCCTGAGACCACAGGCTCCCCACCCCTGGCCTACCTCCAAGTTACATAAGATATCACTAGGGACCCAGAGTCAGATCAAATGACTCTAGGCTCAGAAGATTTTCACAGTATTACAGATTTAGAACTAGAGGGATGGAGGGGTCATCTAGTCCAGTCCCCTTCATTTTACAGATGAGGACATGAGGTCCCAGAGAAACTAAGGGATGTCCCCAAAGTAAAGTTGGGTTTCCATGATATTGCACTGTCTTGGGTGCTCAGTCGCAGTCTTCTAGTTCCTCACCACTCAAATAATCAGAACCTGAAATGAAGTTTAGTTTTACTGAATAAGCCCTATTTTTTTTGAATGAGGCTCACCTGTTCCTCATAAAGATGATTTTCCCAAAAATTAAAAGAGAATCAATATCTGATTTGGTAAACTTACAAAAAGAAAAAAACCCAGCTAACAAATGCTTTAACTTACTCTTCTATAGCACAAAGAAGCAGGATATATGACTCTAGGACTCTAAGTCTGAATTTGGGGGATCTAAAACAAAGTCCCAACCCTTCTTGTTCACAAGAGATGCAGAGCCTCTTTCCCACACGTAAAGGAACATGAAAGAAACAAAACCATCTTAATGCCTAAATTAATATTTAAAACTAATAAAATGTGATGCAATACAAATTTAGTTTGATATATATAATGCAGAGGCAATTATTAAAGCTAAGTTCCCTTAAGGAAATGGCTCCTGCCAAAAGGTGTTTGCTTTGCTCTCGTGCGCTCTGCTCTTCTCAAATGTATTACTTGAGCTCATCTGTCCTAATGCATGAAGGAATGGCTCCTTAATGAACAGAACCCATTTATCTCTTTTTAATGATTACGCCTAGGCGGCACATGACGGCAGGAGAGGATTCTCCAAAGCAAAAGCCACTTATTCCTGTAACCTCAACTACTCCATGTGACCCAGCGGAGGGCACGCTCCAGTCACCCTCACCTCATTCCCATTCTTGCTGCTGACCCTCCCTGATGAACGCAATCATTCACGAATTACTCGAACACCCCCTGACCTCCAAAGAGCATGGCCAGGGTTACTGCAGCCCAATCCAAAGGGCCACAAGTCGCCAAACCAAGTTTCCAAGAGGCAGGCCAGTTTCATTACCAACAAGCATCACTGCCAGGAGTAGTACAACTTTGCAGTTTAAAGAGTGGGATCAATACATATCTTTTCCCTCTTTTTTTGGTATAAAAATAAATATATGACAACTCCAAAGTAGAGGACATCTGAAGAACAATTAGAAAAGATTTGGGGGTTAAGGCATCTCTGTTTCTAATGACTGACCTGAGAGTTATAGCATAGTCAAAGCCACCCACGTGGGCTCCCCTGCCCACACAGTTGTGATGTTTTCATGGTCGGTCCTTTCCATTTAAATGGAGTACAGAACTCCTGGTGAGGCAAGGCCCTCTACCAACACACACCTTCTGCTTTTCTAAAACCTGTGCTGTGGCCCTGAGCGGGGAAGTGTCTGGCCCAGACCCCAGAGGCAGATCTCCACAGTAATCCTTCCTCCCTCCTCGTCCCACAACTCACTGTTTAGGCTCTGGCTCCTGGGCGATTACATCTCTATGGCAACTTCACTCAGGTTTTATCTAACTTGGATGGTCAAAGTACCTCTGGCCCTACTTTTGACTTCTAATGGAGTGTGCCACAAACATGGCAGTTTCATGCCCAAATTCAGCTGTAATCGACGTTGGTTTGTCAGGAATGAGTACTTATTTTCCTCACTGACTCTTTGTAACATTTGTCTGGAAGCTCATGGTGAGAAGGTATGTATACTTGGTGCAACTGGAAGTGTAGGTGGGCAGTGAGCCCAGTGAGGGCTGGGTAGCAGGGATACCTCCAGCCTGCATACTGAGAAGTTTATCTCAAATGAATGGCTAAAAAAAAAGTAGAGCTATCTTGGGAAACTGAGTTCTTTTTCATTTGGACTCACTTTCCTATATAACATATCTGGTTAAAACTGCCAGCGTGGCAATGCCTCTACACACTCAGCAAGCGCCTTGCTGACTTCCTGGTGAGGTCAGGTCTCACACAGGAATTGCCAACAGATCAGTCATGGGGCCACAGTCATTGATCACACACTGTGACACACGATGTACTGGAGTTTTGTTTTTGTTGTTCAGTCATTCAGTTGTGTCTGACTCTTTGTGACCCCACGGACCATAGTCCACCAGGCCCTTCTGCCCTCCACAGTCTCTCACGGTCTGTCCAAGGTCATGTCTCCATCTCATCCTCCGCCATCTCCTTTTCTTTTTGCCTTCAATCTTTGCATTGTACTGGTGTGAAATGCCCCAAGAAGCAGAAACTGATGGGATGCCCTCCTCCTCCTGGTCAGGGGCACTTGAAATACTGGCAGGAGCTGACAGGGGCTCACGGGAGCCAGGATTTCTGGAGAGAAGGGGGCTGTCCAGTGGTGGAGGTGAAGGCACTTAAAAGCAGGCCTCTACTACTTGTGCTGGCTGGACTCCAGAACTAGCCATTTTCTAGTCAGGAGGCCCTGAAGCCCTGCCTTCATTAGGAGGTGTTAAATGAGGCAACAGAATTAGAGATGGGGGATCTCTAATCAAAATTCTGATTAAAGCCACAGGAGAAATTTTGCCTGAAGTCTATCTTGGCATCTAGTTTCGACCCCTATACTTTGGGTCTCCCTGGGTCCTCTGTTTCCTTTCTATTCCATATACTCCTACACACCAAGGTACCCCTTTAGCTATCAAAAATTCTATCACGGTATATCTTCCCACATGGATACAGCTCATAGCCAACAGCACTGACAGAGGTCACCTTTTGTGACATTCCCAAAGATTAATAATGCATATTTCCATAATGACTATTAAAATTTTTTAAAATAAAAATTCTCTTTTGATAAGAGAAACCTCCCACAGAACCCTTCATCTGGCTTGGTCCACAATTCCCATTCACTTGGGAACTACATGGAACAGAAGAAATTATAATTGGGCACACCAGGCTACAGAAAGATTTCTCCTAGAAAAAGGACCAATAAACAATAAAAACAGCTAGAAGAGCCTATGATCTATCCTGGCTTCCATTTGATTCAGGGGTTTTAAAAATATCATTGCCTTGACTCGAGTCCTAACATCCTCAACTACTTAAAGACACGGCAAATTTCAAAGGCGTCAGGAAGTCAGAGAAAAGAAGCTTGGCTTCCCACTGCATGTGACAGGAAGGCTTTCATAAGGAGCTTGGACTGCAATCTAGCAGCTCGCAATGGTGAGGTGGGAAAGAGAGAAGTGAAGAGCAGTCTGAGCAGGAGGTGAACAGAGTGGACTGTAGAAATGCTCAGGGCTAATCTCCAGCCTCTTATCCTGGACTGAAACAGTAGGGATTTCACAAGAACACAAAACAAAAAATCCCCAAGAAAAATATACTGTATGATGTCAGCTAAGGAGAGACAGAACTCCACCTTATTAGGTTTTACCCCAACAGACAGAAAGAAAAGAACCTTCATTTCTCCACTTTGAGATTAGATGGAATGACCCAACATCACCAGCGCGTTATCATGTACAGCCAGCTGATTTGTGGTAACTGACAACATGGAATAACCTTCGGGCAAAGTAAGGTCAAGGGGCATGACTTCAGAACAGCAGGGGCCAAGAAGCCCCAGGGCAGAAGAGCAGAAAGAGCACTCGAATTTGGAGTGAGAACCGTTGGGCCCAAACCCAGCTCTTCTATTTACAACCCATGTGACCTTGGTCAAGTCCCTTGGGTGACCCTCCGGACCAGAGGACCCACAGATCTGGCTTCCTGGGGCCTCAGTTTCCCATTCTATCACCTGAGGGGGTTAATGTCAGCTTTCTCTGAGGTTCCTCTCTGCTCAGTGTCTCCGCTCCTAGGAACCTCATTATTAGAATAAGGGTCTCCCCTAAAAGGCTGTCTGGACACTTGTCAGCACAAACATGGCAGTTTCATGCCTAACACGGCTTTAATCGACTCTGCTTTGTCAGGAATGAGTCCTAATTCTCCTCACCAACCCTTTGTAACATTTGGTCTGGAAGCTCGCAGTGGGGAGAATGTGTGTGCTCAGTGCAGATGGAAGTAGGGGTGGGCCGTGAGCCCAGTGCGGGCTGGGCAGTGGGGACAGCTCTAGCCTGAAAAACGAGAAGTTCATCTCAACTCAAGAGCTAGAAAAAAGGAGTAGAAAATGTTGTCTTAGGGAACTGGGACGAAATAAGGGGGAAAAGAAAGGCTACGATCTCACGGGATCCTATAGAGGAAAAGAAGAGAGCCCGAACTCCTGAAGGTCAAGGCCCACAGCTCACGTGCCCAGGAGTGTTTGGCACAAGGTCACTGACTCACAATACAGAGATGGGAAGAGACACTTGTAGGCCTCATCTTCTGCTACAGTTTTCTGGGATTGTTCATTCGGCAGGCTTCTGCATCATAATTAGATGCATATAAATAACCTGTGTAATGAACACCCACCCCCAAGCCCCTTTCCTCTGACTGGTCAAGTATGATGCCCTCCTTTGGGAAACCTTTCACTGGGAGGAAGGGGAAGGCTGCATGCTATCTGGCTTCCGACCCCACTTCAGGTCTCATTTATCCATAATCATTAGAGCATGACTAAGTGAGTCCTGTGCAAAGAAACTATCACCTTGGGCTGTATTCAGAGAGGAGCAGGCTGTCAGGGGCAATTCCACTGTGCAATCACACTGAAATGGTCTTAGAAATAACCCAGGGGTTGGTCACTCCTGAACACGGGAGACTCGGCCCCGAGGCCTCTCCCTCCCTCGACCACCATCCAGCAATGTTGCGTCTTGATGGGGAATGGGAAAAACAGTACCAGGGGGCAGAGGCCAGGCTCTCAAATACACAAAAGTCCGAGAAAACAAGCAAGCAGATCAAGATGCCGACTACTCACCACCATGTTGTAAGCATCAGGGACTTCTATCTCAAACTGAAATTTTCCACCCTGGTAGTGACCCTCATCTATCAGAAAACACACACAAAGAAAAGAAAAAGAAACCTTTAAAAAATGAAACAAAAAACAAATACCACATTAGGATAAGGAGGAGAAAATGAATAATGTTTTGAAAGAACTACACGAGAAAGTTAGGCATTAGAAAAAGGGCAAGAGTTATAACCTAATTTCATTTGAACAAATCTGGCTAAAATTATTTTCTCACTCACTTTCAATGATAAAATCAGAACATACACACTCAGAAAATATTCAAAAGAACGAATTGTACGGCTGTGGTCAAGACTGGAGCACCTGGGTCTGTTTCTTCATCTCCCAAAGGAGGAGTTGATTTGGCTCAGGCACTGCCTCCTTCATGAAGCCTTCCCTGGTTGTCTCTCTCTGCCCTTTCCTAGAGCTCTCCTTTGCCCCCATCTCACCCTCCCCACATTTTATCTGTGTCTGTTGTATCGCTGCTAGTAGAGTATAAACTCTCGAGGGCAGGCAATGCCATTTTTTCCTCTTTATCTCCAGCACCTAGCCCAAGTGCTTAATAAATGTTTGCTGATGGATTGATACACTGACACTGTCCAGCTCTAACAATTAGGATTCTCTTCTATGAGAACTGATGACTTCTTGCCTCCAAACGTAAGTCAAGCCCTTTTCAGCTTTCTCCCGATTCCGCACACTTGAGAATCCTATCTCTACACCTAGGGATGTGCCTTCTAGTTGGAGTATTTGCAATAGTTTCAGTGCTGGCTTAAAATAGCACCCTCTTTGACAATGGTTGACACTGCCTGGCACACAATATTCAAAACTGAAAATATTCATTTGAGTATCCAAGTAAACAGATTAATCGCTAATCACACAAATTCTACAATTTGAAAATGTGTACATCATCCTCAGATAAAACGAAGGGTTCTTCCCCATCCCAACAACACATTTACTGCCTTGGCAAAGTAGCAGAGATTTGATATTTTGTTTCCATTCAAATCAAACAAAGACCAAACATGACTCCCTCTTCTCTTTGCTTCTAACAAATTGTCATCCAATTCCATTTCCGTAATGCGCTTCTGCTGAAGCACTTCATATACCTTATCCCTGGGCTCTTTGGGGACCTCAGCACTCAAACCACAACAGGAAGTGGCCAAGAAGACCTTCGAAGGGATGCGGGAGACTTTTCACAAGTTCAAAGGCAGGCAAGAAATAAACAAGCTTCACAGACTGGTTAGTGCTGGATGAAATGTGACCTTCCTGACCTGACCACGGCAGCTGAGTCCTGGGGAAGATCAAAGCTACTGGGGGAGCGAGGCCCCTTTCCATGGCCCCTGCTGTTTTCTCTCTGCGGCCTCTGTTTTCTCCCTCCTTTCCTAGTACGTGAGAACACACGTCTCTCTCGCTCATAAAACCCTTTCTTAGGCCCTTTCAGTCCCATAATTTAAATTCTGTTTCTCCACAAGCTATGGGTGGCTCCTGAGTCACAGTCAGAACACTGAAGTGGCCTCTGTCCTTTGGGTTCAAAGGTGAGACACACGGTACTACCCTAGCCGTGTGAGTACCACTAATGGGAGGTGCCATGTGCACTTCACACAGAGGAAGGCTGAGCACCGAACGAAGTTGCCCAAGCTTCAGAGGTGTGGGAGTGGCCTTTCAGCTTCCCCCCCACCCCCCAGGTAATCAATTCCAATTTTGCAAACAAACATTTTTCCTTTCTTTCTGCTCAAAGCTTCTCCATAAATTTGGCTTAACAATGTTGCTTTGAAACTTGGAAATGGTAACTAGGCGCTTCTGGGATGCGTGGTGAGTGAGTCAGTGACTCCTTCTACCATACAAGTTACTCTCTCCCAAATCTGAAACCCACACTCACTTTACTCATGCACACACACATCCACATGGTCACCAGGTCTGACATCAGATAATCCAGTGAGAAATTACAGTGTCTGAGATTCCAGATGGGGAGGCTATTCTGCATCACTGGAATAGACAAGAAGAAGCCTTAGGTTTATACCCAGTTTTGCCACTAAATCTTGGATGACTTTAGGCAGCCTGGGTCGAACATTTTTCACTTGGCAATCTGAACCAGAGACCCGTCTGCTCCTCCTCATGTGGGTCAGCTTTTTAATACCTCTAAAAGCCCCACCCACTCTGAGGCCATCTTTCCTGCTTTCTGGTGAGAAAGAAAGTGATATCAACAACCACAAAAGCGACAAAAAAGAGGAAGGGGGCATCGCCATCCCGTAACTCCTGTCCAGCGTGGGCTGGCTGCTGCAAACATTCTTTTCCCTGACAGCTCACAGCAGATTCAAACACCATCAAAAGCAAAATCATACAAGCAGGCTCCAGATAAGTCTTGGTCAGGAACCTCTCTCAATGCAGGGATTCAGAACACCAAGAACACTGAGACGCTGAGGCCAGGACAAAGGCTTCCAGTGGCCAGGCCGCCCCCATCACAGTGAGGCAGGACTTTGAGAAGTGTGGGGAAAGCCAGCGTGTTGTGTCCTGTCTTCCAATTGGAGGCTTTCTTAACATGGGGTCCACGAAGTTGTTTTAAAAATAGTTTGCTAACCGTAATTGGTATGGTTAGTTTCTTTGGATTTCTCTGTATTTCATTTCATGCATTTGGACATTTTATCCTGAGGAGGGAGGGGTCCATAGGCTTCAGCAGACTGCCAAAGGGGTCCATGTCACAAAAAAGGTTAAGAACTGCTACTCTAAGAAGGTAACCTCAGGCAATCATTGCAATATAAACCAAATAGGGTTCAGGGACAGATTGGAAGGGACATGATATGGTAAAGTAGCTCACGATGACCTCATGGAGTGGGCAGTACTTTTATTACAATGCAACCTCGGGGCTATCCTCCACTCTCTCTCTCTCTCAGCCCCATCTCCAATCCATGGTCAAGTCCTGTTGTTTCCTCTTCCTAACGTCTCTCCAATAACCCGCTTCTCTCCTCTGACTCTGCTGCCACCGCTCTGGTGCAGGCCCTGGCCACCCCATGCCTGGACTATTGCAGTAGCCTGCTGGGGGTCTGCCAGCCTTGATCACTCCCCACCTCAAAACAAACTTAAACTTCAGTGGCTCCCAACTACCTGTAGGATCAAATATAAAATCCTGTTTGGCGTTTGAAGCCCTTCGTGACCTGCCCCGTCTTACCTTCCCAGTCTTTTCACACCTTACTCTTCTCCTATAGGGTACTCTGTGATCCAGGGGCAATGTGTGTGTTCTCACTGGCTGGTTGTCCCCTGTGCCTGGAGCCCTCTACCTCCTCATCACCGCCTGGTTTCCATCAAATCTCCGCTAAAATCTCACCTTCTGTAAGAAGCACTAGTGGCTGGCCCTTCTTAATCCTGCTTCCTTCCTTCTGTGGCTAACCTCAGTCTGGCCTACAGATGTGCTGTTCTAGGCGATTGTTCACAGGGTGCCCCAAACAGACCACAAGCTTCCTGGAGCAGGAACTGTTTGCCTTTTGTCTTTCCCTGTAGCCTGGTGCTTAGCACAGTGCCCGGCACACAGTAGGTGCTCCCAAGTGCTAGCTGACTAGCTGACTGGCTTTTGCCCAGTGCCATATGCCCAACCAACACGACTCCTTTCAGCGGCTTCACTGAATGGGTGCCATGTAGTCAGGGTCTGGGCTGGGGCTGGGGGGAAGAAGAGCACACCGACTAGAGTCTGAGGAGTCCACAGAATGCATGCTAGGCATCCAGTATCTGGAGGGAGAGTCACCAACAGTGGGAACAAGCCCTAAGAGAAGCAACAAAACAGTGCAAGGTCTGATGTCACGAAGATCTGGAGCAGGGATCTGCTGTTTCTTTGTATCCCTGAACTGAGCTAGTGGATGGCACACAGTAGACCCTTAATACTAGCTGACTGATTGATCTGGGACAATCAGGCAACTCAGGGAGTCCAGAGAGAAGGCTACTGTGATCATCGAATGACAGATGAGGGTCCACACCCAAGGGGATGAGTGGGAACAGGAAAGAAAGCCAAAGCAAGCGGCCACAAGGGGGCAGTCTCCCCCTTTGACTCCTGGGCAACCACCCCCTGTCCCCAATGTGACCACCTAGATGCAGGGGTCAACTCGTGCTTCCCAGCTCTCCTGCCATCCCCGCAAGGTTCTTGAGGATACTGACCATCATTTTCCATCACTGGATCTTGGCTGTCTGGTACAAGGCCTCAGTCAACAAACCCAAGAATGCTAGGGGCAGCTAGGCGGTGCAGTGGATAGAGCTCCAGCCTCGGAGTCAGGAGGACCTGAGTTCAAATGCGGCCTCAGACACTTGACACGTACTAGCTATGTGACCCTAAGCAAGTCACTTAACCCTGACTGCCTCACCAAAAACCAAAAAACAAAACAAAACAAAACCAAGCCCGCCCCCCAATCATCCTGCGCCTTAGGGTGTTCTGAATTTAAAATGCAGCCTCACAAATCAACCTGACAGTAGCTACCGTCACAAAAAGGGAAGGGCAATCTGTCTGAGGAGGTAAAAGCTCTATGATGCTGCCTTTAAAAGCATTCCTACTAGAGAAATCAGGCAACTTCAGGCACAAAGAGGATGTCCCTGACTTGCCCCACCAACATGATGGATTCCTATTTCTCACTCCAAGTTTCTCTTAACATCCCAGTCTTGAGAACAATCAGCTAAACAGGAGAAGACTGTAAGAATATTCTAATTTTCTCCTTACAATTGATATATTTTTGCTTTTAATATACACAAAAATCCTTGAGGAGAAAGTAAAGATTTAAGATCTAGGGCTAAATATTAAATTCACCAAATTTCCTAAAATAGCTTAGGTGGGTATTTCATTAAAAATTAAAAACCTCAAACATGGAAATATGTTTAATATGATTATACGTGTATAGCTGTCTTGCACGCCGTCTTGGGGAAGGAGGAGGGGAGGAGGAGGAGGGAGAAAAAAATTTGGAACTCAAAATCTTATAAAAGTGAATGTTGAAAATAAAAAAAAATTTAAAAATTCAGAGCCTCCATTAACAAGTGATTTATCTGGCAAGTAGTGCATTCTACTTAAAGT